ATAGTGTCAATTATACATGAGAGACTCTGAGGCACACATCTGAACTGTGCCCCATGGCTGGCTAGTATTTAAGAATTGTTCAATTAGCCTCAAGTTTGCATAGCAGACAGATCAGTTTTCCCATCTCAAGCTATTTACTCCCTGACCAGTTTGGTTTTCCTCTTTTATATTTTTGTCAAGAACTCATTAATTACACAAGTTTGTGTGAATAGGGACATTTACAAATGTCTTAGGTGTATCTGTTCCTAATGTCAAAAAGCACCACTACTGGATATGTAAGATTGTGTATGCATGTACATGAGACAGAGTTAGATCTCAAACTTATGACTCATACAGGATGAGATTTAATTTTAACTGATGGCTATGAAACATTCATTTCATTGCCTTTTAATTTATATTGTGTCATTGAGGAGCCAGAAAAGAGGGCAAGGGATCAAAATCTCTAGAGTATCTGGCTCTTTAGGAAAACCAGTGCTCATTGATTTTCTTGTAGTTATTTGACCAAGTTAAGAAATTATCTCAGTAAAAAAAGAATTCCAAATTGATTGAGAATTCTGAAGAAGGGCTAGTTACTGCTTAAGTTTTGATAAGAACAGTTGCTCTTCAAACTTCTTAGTAATAAGATGATGATAAAAGTCATAAGATTTTTTTTTTTTTGGCATTACTGGGGTTTGAACTCAGGGTCTTGCACTTGTTAGGCAGGTGCTTTACCACTTCAGCCACACCCCAGCATTTTTCGCTTAGCTATTTTTCAAATAGGACCTGACATTTATGCTTAGGCTGACCTGAACTGTGATCCTATTTATGCATCCCACATAGTAGTGATGACAAGCATGAGCACCATGTCCAGATTTTTATTGGTTGAGATGGGGGTCTCATGAACTTTTTGCCCATACTGGTCTTATACCATGATCCTCTTAATCTCCACTCTTGAGTAGCTAGGATTAAAGCCATGAACCACTGTTCATGGCTAAGATGATGTTTTGAAATCAAGATTCTTTAATGTTCTAGAAATTCTTTGGCCTTTTGTCAAAGAGTTGCAAATTGATATCCTTTTTTAAAGGCTTCTTGCAAAATCTGGGTGTGGAAAAAACAAATACTATTTTGAAATGTTACATGAAGTTATAAGAGTGAGTTATTCCATTTAAGAACCTTTCTTGCGTCAGTCACTTTGTCATCTTCTCTACCCAGTTGTTCATGAACATGTATTTGCTTTCATATATATCACCTAAAGACTAGCTGGGGGTATGTCTGTCACAGCAGTAAAAATACTAGATGACTTTCTTTTCTTTCTTTTACCAAAAGCAGTACTCATATCTGAACCCAAGCAAACCTGGTTTTTAAAGAAACTTTTAAAGACTTAGTTTTTAGTCTTGTATATATCTGAAAAAAAAAATGCTTTAGTAACTTTTGCAGAAAGGCAGTTATCACTCTCTGTATAAGGAAAAGTGAATTAGTCACATTACATCTTATCATCACTTTGTTTAGTTCAAGCTTGTGATACTCGTTATCTGCTGGGATTTTAAGGTCATTGATCATGGTTATGTGATATGTATTTTAAAAGATAAAATATCATGTGGTGTTTCTGAATGGCAGTGGGACCTCTTTGACATTATGTAGTCAGATATTCACCTTGAAGTGATACAAATCCATCTGAATTTAGTAGATTATTGAAAATTTTCAAAAACAGAGACTTCCAATATTATTTTCTCCCATTTGCTGATTTAATCATATGGGAACACTGCAAAAAGGGGGAAGAAGAGAAATAGCTTTCCAGTCATTCTGAGTGAGAAAAATCAGTCTGTTTGCTCTAAGAACTGAGAGGTCAGTCTCTGAGGGTTGAGGATATTGGCAGACTGAGAAGTCATGTGTGCTACAGAGGGCCTGCAGGATGAGTCTTCTCTTTTATGTTAATATGAGCAAGAAATAAATTTTTGACAGTAAAGATTATTTGGAAAAAAGTAATCTAAGCATTCATAGTTGAGAGACTTTGCTGAACAATTTCAGTCTGTTCTGAGTTTTTCCCTGCAATGTTAGAATTGGTTCAAAATCAGTTCTCTGGTTTGTGCAGAGAATTTTCATGTGAAAGAACCATACTTATTATTTGTTGGATTTTGTTCAGGGTTTCAAAAATCATGTTATTATTTTGGCAGTTGATTTGCCTGAGTCCATTTTGGGGAAAAAGAGAAAACAGTAACTGAAAAGCAACTGAATTCTTTTAATGCTTTTTTGGTACTTTTCAACAGATATGGAGAATTAGTTAGTTAATTAGAACTCTAAAAGTAATTTTATCTTGTAATATGTAGCAATAAGCAGTTTCATACTAAGTATAAAATAATAATCTCTTAATAAAATGCAAGAAAAATTTGTATCTGAGTTGGCTTTCCTTTGCATTTGAGATTTATGTCATAATTTTGTCATCAGAAGAGAATGATAGTACAGGCTAATTTTAGGGTTCTCTTTCAGGCAAATGAGTTCTTGTCCCTGGGAAGGCAACAAAATTTCAGAGTTTGGAGAGGGAAACATGACTCTGAGGCATAAACATGCTGAGGCATGACCAGCATTTATTTTTTGTCAAAAGTTTTAAAATAAATTTTCCCAACCAAAGCTTTCTTTTTAGAATAATTCCTAGTTTGCCCTTCCAATCCTATAAGTGGGTCAGTTCAGAATAGATAATTCAAGGGCTAGAATGTATCTCAGTGGTAGCATGCTTGCCTAGCATGTGCAAACCCCTGGATTCAGTGTTCAGCACCACATCAACAAACAAACACAAAAAACCTGCACAGAATAGATCATCTAAGATTAGATAGTGATTTCAAGGCCAGTCTGGGCTACATAGTGAAAGCTTATCTCAAAAACAAAAAGAAACAAAATAAAACAACAACAATAAAAAAGAGGTTAGCTCATCCTAGATTCTTATTCATCCAAGTGAGAAGAAAAGAAAATCCAGATGGTAGGTGAAGAGATTTTTCTCTACTCTTCTAAGAATCCATGTTTTTTTGCATGTGAGCAACTTTGAAAATGAATTGATTTCCTAAGGAGAAATTTCTTCCTAACATTTGACTTTCATGGAAAAACATGGAAAAGATTCATTCGTTATACTTTCTGTCCTTGCAAGTAATGTTAAATAAGGATGTAAAAATTAAGGAGAAAACAAAGTTGTTCAGAAAACTGGAGTTTCCTTTGCTAAGTCAGTTTGGCAACAGCGTGGAGCAAAATGAAGGCATTCTAGCCAAGAAAAATGAGCACAATTGAGCTATCAGATATGAAGTAATAATGAGGCATGCCTGTGGGTATCAGGCTTGCTTATGAAAACCATAGAGCTAAAATTTGGTCCTGCACCATTAAGTCAAAACTCTGCCACACAACAACAAAAACATGAGTTTTAAATCATCAGTACAAACCAAATACAGTTCTCACCAACGATAATTAAATATTTTTTGTTCAGGCTTTCTCTGAGAATCACGTCAGCAGCATAGAATCTGAATTCCATTTCAGTGTGAAAATGAGACAGTTATTATTCAGATCAAGAGGAAATGTCAGCTACAAATTATGAGGCAATCAATTACAAGGCCATGGTACTGTTTGAGAGTAAAAAAAATTTTGCATGTCTGCATTTAGAACAATTGCCTTAACTCTTTATTTCTTCTCTGACTTTGTCTTTCCAAAATAAAATTTCTTGACTTATTTCAAACCACAGACTCATTTGAAATTTAATTCAAGGAAAGACTAACAAATCTGTAGGTCCAGAAAAAATAGTAATAATCGCTGTTGTCACATAAACCTGAATCTGTTTGGCTATCATATTAAGGAAGTTTCTTACCACTAATCCTATCCTTGTGAGATGGTACAGGGAAAATATAGTGTGACACTGATACTCAAATTGAGCCAGAAAGACACTGAACAAATTTGTCCCATAGCACATTGTAAATAGGAGAACCCAAGTCTAGGAAACTAATCTCTTGTTTATAGCCCAGTATTATTTCCACCCAATCCACGTTGTTGAATTGAATAGTCAAAGAGAGTGTATTTTCCTGTAATTAGTCATTTCCTTGGAGGCAGTATTCTAATTAGGAAGTGAAATTTAAACCAGATGTTTAAGTTAACTTGGGTGTTTCGCATCTCTGTGGTCCAAATTACCCCCAATTGTGCTGAATTATTGTAAAAGATAAGGCATATCAAATCTTCATCATTATGGGTGATAGATAAATGACGTGTTAGTCTGATGCAAAGATCAAAGCAATTATCTGAACACATGTTGTACAATGTATTTTAAAGGCATATCTTTATATCAATATGTGTAAATTTTATAAAATATTCCTATTATAAGAATATAATTTTTAACAGATTAGATTATAAAGCAACATTTAATGGTATTGTGCAAATAAAAGTCACAACTCAAAGTAATTGTGAAAGGTTGTATATAAAATGATGAATGAACATATCTATATGAGATAAATATTAAAATATTGCAGATATCTCATCTTTTTAAACCAAATATATGAATTTGGATTTAAAAGCAATCACATTAAATAGGATAAGGAAAGGTATTTTATAGTGAGAAAGATAAGAAAAAAGGCTAAAATTTCTGTTGCACTATGGTCGCAGCTGCACAAGATTGTATGTGCCCTTACTTTTTTGTCTGGAATGAAACATGAGATTAGAGTGGGATTATGATTTTTATTTTGTATTTTCACCCCATGAATGTTAATAGTTAATAACTTGATGATATTTCTTAACTTGAGGGTGAATTATATATTTAGAAATCTAGAATAACTACACCAAAATTCCTCAAAGATAGCTCATTGCCAAAGAATATTTGTTAGAGACTTTGAAGCATTTATACTTTCCACTTAGAGTTTGAAAGTCATTGCCATGAAAATAATTTCAGATGTGTGGTCCAACAGAAATTGTTGGTTCCATTCCAGTTAGATCATCACTGTTGCTCTTATGTCAGCCTTTGACTGTCATGTACTTATCACCTCTATCCACTTTTACAGCAATATGAGAACTGGAGGCCTAACCAACCAGACAGCTTCTTTTCTGCTGGAGAAGACTGTGTTGTAATCATTTGGCATGAGAATGGTCAGTGGAATGATGTTCCCTGCAATTATCACCTCACCTATACCTGCAAGAAAGGAACAGGTAAGGATTACTTCATCAACACTGCATATTTAATCTGCATTTTAATTATCAGAATTCAAGAAGAATAAGCTTTTTTTTTTTTGATACTAACTGAATATGTTATGTCCTTTCTCATTGCCCTGGAATATTTTATATTTTCAATACAATTTAAAAAGTTTGTTTTCAGTTCTCACCTTAGATTTCACATGCTTAAGATAAAAATGTGGTATTTATTAAATGCAGGAGAACTACCTGATAGTATCTTTAAGAAAAACTGCTGATCAGAGGCCTGTAGACCTCTTTCTTTCGATGAGGAGAATATTTTAAAAAAAAGTTATCAATAGTTAAAAATCTGGACTCTTTTTTTATTTTATGTTTTTAAATAAGAAGACCTGGTGCCATTTGCCTAGTTTTTACGTTTGTTAGTGGATTGAAATACTGGAGCTGAGAACTGCTAGATACTTGGTCTCTGTAGGCATTTGAGGTTTTTTTGTGTTTGATCATTTCTTTAGAAGTTTATTTTGTGATTACAAACCATGGAACAAGAGTGTCATTCAATGTCTACATTTGAATAACTTCAAGATAGAATAAAGACACTTGTAATGGAAGTTCCATGATGAGAATTGCTTGGTTAATGTTAAATAGAAAAAAAAAATCAAGGAAACTGATTTTTTAAATGTGTGTTGTATTTATCATTGGCTACCATGTTTGAATTTATAAAGCATGCTCTATAGAGTTCTTCCCCCAAATAGAAATGCCATTAAAAGTTTTAATATCATTTATGAAAATGATAATAAATCACGACTTGTTTAGTCCTGTGGCCAAGACTTTTAGCCACCACCTAGAGTAAGAGACAAAATATAAATTTAAAATGTAAAATCCATTTGATTTGTCTTTGATTACACAAAAAAACCCAAAAAGTGCACACTCTATAAATATTTTAGGGAATTTTAAACAACAATAATAGATTCTATTAGGAGAAAGAGAACACTAAGATATACAAAACCACTGTTTCAGATAAAACTCAGCTGTTATGAATGACCACTCTGCTGTTCTCTCATCTAAGGTAGAACTTACTCTCAATACACTATCTACACAAGAAGCTTTCCTGGCTATGTGCCTTTCTTCAGCACTTCTGCAGTGGAACTGGTAAAAATAGCAAATCAAGTATTTGCTGTTTTCCTTTTTCCGGTATAAGAAGTCTTTAATAAACTGTTTGTCTCTAGCCGAATGTCATGTTTGCCTTCTTGGATCCTGGAATGGTCCTGGAGTTATGCTTTCATTTGTGATCTAAACATTCTTGTATTTCCTATGTTTTTCCTATAGTTGAATTTCTAACAGCAGCATTGTTGACAATTGGAGCCAGGTAATTCTTTATTGTGGGAGGCACTGGAGAACGCTGAGCATCACCCCTGCTTCCCATGCTGAATGCCAGCAGCACCCTCCCTCTTCCCATACCCTGTCTACATTGTGGTGACCGAAAGTGTCTTTAGACATTCACAAATGCCCCTGGGGAGAGGTTCAGGGTTGTGAGAGAGACAAAATTGCTCCAGGTTGAGAACTCCAGCCTTATAGCCAAAAAAGATTTCCAAATACATCTTTATGCTTTACAACTTCTAATGAGGAATGAGTTCTATAAACCTTTGAATCTACCTTATTAAAGAAAGAAGAACTATTCTTTATCTCCCCATTGTCTGATTTTTGTGTATAATCAGTTCTTTCCTAATCGATGCTATCGGTGAATTTTATGTTTATAGACTTGTAGTAGGAATCTTTTCTTCTTTCAGGCACCTTTAAATCTACAAATCTAAGTAGTTCTACTTTTAATTTACTATTAAATACTTATAAAGAAGGATTTGTAATATATAGAAAGGCATATTTTGATACACACTATCCTTGTTTCTTCCGAATATCTTGTGGGTTCTTGTTAATCCCATTCCCATTTCCCTAATTCCCACCAGAGATAATGACTTATTTTCTTGTTTTCCCCTTTAATATTACCAAATATGCTTGTATTCCCAAACAACAAATTATTTAGTTTTGTAAAATGTTTTAGCTTTATGTAAGCGGAATCATAGTATATGCATTCTGTACCTTGCTTCTTTGTTGTTCAGTACTATGTGTGTAAGACTTATCTATGTTGATGCATGTAGTTGCATGTTCTTTGCTTTTGCTGCTTTATAGTAGTTTATTGTATGATTATACAACATTTTGTTTATCGGTTCTCCAGTCAGTGGACATTTGGGTTGTAGCTACTGTTTTTACTATTATAAAAGATATTTCTATGAATATTCTGAAACTTGTTCTTGGTACTTTTGTGAGTTTCTGTGGGGCATATTTCTGGAAGTGAAGTTGCTGAGTCTTAAGATAGATGTATCATCGAATTTATTAGAAAATGCCAATTTTTCCAAAGTGGTTGTACCAATTTGCACTCCCACCAGCAATGTGTGACAGGTCCTGTCTCTCCACATCTTCTCCAATATTTGATATAATTGGACTTGAAAGTTTTGCCAATCTGGTGGGTATAAAATGCTATCTCCTGTGATTTAACTTGCATTTTCTTAGATACTTCTCTTCAATATCTTTTCATATACTTACAAGACATTGATATCTCTTTGGTAAAGTGTTTATTCATGTCTTTTCCTTATTTTTGAAAATTGGTTGCTTATTTTTCACATATTGATTTGCAGGAGCTGTTCTTATATTGTTATTAATCCCTTGACAATATATAACTTGCAAATATCTTCAGTTTGTAGATTTTATTCTTCTTACTTTATGATATTTTTGATGAACATAATTCTTAATTTCATTTATATGTTCCTTAAGACACAAAAATGTATAACGTTTTTTTCTGTCTTAAGAAATCTGTATGTACCTGAAACTCATAAAACTATTTTATATTCTTTTCTAAATGTTTTATAGTTTTGCTTTTTATATTTACATTTGTAAATATGTAGAATTGTTACCATCTAGAATTGATTTTTCATGTATTTTCTGAGGTAGAGAACCAAATATATTTTTCCATATGAATACCCAAGTCTCCAGCTTTCAAAACTGTGTTCCCCTCTGCTCTGCCATGTGTTTCTGTCAAATATCCAGCATGCGTGTGCGAATCTATTTCTGGTCTATTTTCCTATCCTCACCAATACTACACTCAGTGAATTATTTTAGCTTATTTTTATAGTTTTCACGTATAGTTTTCAAAACTCATATAATTCTTTTCTTGCAGTGGTACAAACAACTTCTAATTTTCATCATAGCACAGAATCACATAGAATGAATTGTTTAATTGATCATTTTTTATCTTCTGTATCACTTTGGTCTCATTCTATATGGAACCTAATGTAGGCTTTTTATATTATAATAAAAGCAGTGTCCAGGTAAGCAAAAGTAAATTAGAGGAGCTAAATGTTTAAACTAATCCCAAGTTTATCATTGCAAAGCAATATGGTTGTATACACATTTATAAATAAATTTTATAAGTAGCAAGAGAGACAAAATGTATTTCATACAATACAACTAACAGCAGACTCCCTCAGCAGAAGCCCAGTAGGCCAGAAGAGAGTTTGATATTTTAAAAGTACTGAAGGAAAAAACTGCCAACGAGCTGTACCTAAGAAAGTTATCATTTAGAAAGAAAGGAGAGATATAGACTTTCCCAAACAAAATTGGAAGGAATTCATTAACATCAGTCATGTCTTTAAGAAATGCTAAAGGGTGGTCTTCGAATTAAAATAACAGTAATGTAACACAAAAACATCTGAAGATATAAGATTAATAAGTAAAAGTAAGAATCCAGACAACATTTTAAAATTCTAATACTATAGTCATGGGGGATAAATCACTTATATGCTAAATTGGAAGATTGAAAGTCAAAAAAAAAATAACTACAATAAGATATTAATAGGTAGTATAAAAAGATGTAAATTGAGATATCAAAATTTCACACTGAGGGAAGGAATGAAGTGAAAGTGTAGAGCATTTTCCCCTTTCTTTTTTGTGACCAATGTTAAACTTGTTATTTGTTTAAAATAACCTATTACAACTACAAGATGTGTTTAGTAAGTTCCATAGTAACCACAAAATAAAACTCTATAATACATAAACTAAAATTAGAGATGTAAAGAACTAATACATACCTCTAGAGAAAATCATTTAACTACCAAAGAAGACAGTAAAAGAGAAAGAAAGATGCAAAGGAGCTACATAAAAGCAGAAATCAAGCAGCAAATGGCAAAATAAAAAAAAATTTAGTAACTGTAAACTGACTATGTAAATAAATTTAGTAATTGAAACTTTTATTAAGATGTTGATATCCAAACATCCAGTTACCAAGATTTCTAATAATCATTCTTGCACTGAAGATTTGTATTATTTTAGGGGACAGTGTAACATGTTCTTATGGGGTTGTGGTATCAAAGTCATTAAACTTTGCCATACAGGGAAAATTATAAAGTTGTTACATTTCTGTTAGTGGTATATAACAAAAAAATATTTTTAAACAATTTAAAAAGTGTCATTTAAAATAAGTGCACTCATGTTGAGTAAAACTATCAGTTAATGCAAATTAAGTTGATTCAATTTTCCCATTTCTTGAATTCCAGAATAGATTTCTACTTTTTTATCATTTCATAGTTATAAACTTCATTGTAAATTTATAATGATAATATAGTAGTTCAAGCTTTATCCTTATTTACTCAAGTTTAAATTTGTATTAGATAATTACGAACTGAGGCATGAGTATTATTCATTCTTCTCTCTTCTCTCGTTCTAGAAGATAGAAGAGAGAGAGTGAAGATAGGTGGAAACTGATGTTTTATTTATATTTAGGCGTGTTTGTCCATGTTTCAAAACTATGGTGTTATAGATTATGTTTTCAGGGAAGTGATGGTGATAGTTAATTGTTATATACCCGTTATTGTCCCAAGTGAAGGTGGATAATAAACAGAAATTAGAAGATGGTGATGGAGACAATATCCATAGGTTGCTTGTTGGCATAAAATGAATGCTTTTTAATTTGGACATTTTTTCAGAAAAGTGGCCCTGTGGATGCATCGATGAACATATGACCTTTAGCGCTTTAGTCAAAACAAAATTCAAGATGATGTGTTCTGAGATTAAAACTAGCCCTAGAGCTTCAACTTAATTTTTATCTTGAACAATTTCAATTTAATTCTAGATGACTACCTTTTGAGAAGGGGTGGGGGGTGGAGAGAGTGAGTGAGAGAAACTCATACTAATTGCAGTACTTAGATTATTTGGAACTGACCTAATTTGCTTTTCTTTAGTTGCTTGCGGCCAACCCCCTGTTGTAGAAAATGCCAAGACATTTGGAAAGATGAAACCACGTTATGAAATCAACTCCTTGATTAGATATCACTGCAAAGATGGTTTCATTCAACGTCACCTTCCAACTATCCGGTGCCTAGGGAATGGAAGATGGGCAATGCCTAAAATAACCTGCATGAACCGTAAGTGGTCCTGTAGAAAAAGTGGACAACCGGGCTATAACAGCTACTAGGCCTCCTCATTTTACCGCTGCGGTGTCATTAGTTTAGGGTATGGAGCAAGTAATACTGTTGTGTTTTCTTTCTTTCTTTCTTCCCTTCCATGTAGCATCTGCATACCAAAGGACTTATTCTAAGAAATATTTTAAAAATTCCTCATCAGCAAAGGACAATTCAATAAATACAACAAAACATGATCATCGTTGGAGCCGAAGGTGGCAGGAGTCCAGGCGTTGATCCCTAAAATGGCGAACGTGTGTTTTCATCATTACAGCCAAAGTCCTAACTTCCTGTGCCTTTCCTATCACTTCGAGAAGTATTGCTTTTTGGACTACCGTGCAGTCATTTTGGGTTGCTGTGCTCCCAAAATATTTTAAATGAAAGTCTTGCCGTTCAAAAATAAAGAGAACAAAATGAAAGAAAACGAGGGCAGAAAGTGACCATTTCCAGCCTATCTGATTTCTTTAGTTTTCTGTTTGTCTCCAGTGCAGATCATTCGTAATGTATACCAGCCTACTGTACTATTTAAAAAGTTTAATTTCAGCACCAATGGCCATGTAAATAAGATGATTTAATGTTGATTTTAATCCTGTATATAAAATAAAAAAGTCACACTGAGTTCAAGCATATTTAATGATGATTATGGAGCTCTCGAGGTCTTTAATCATTGGTTTGGCTGCTTTCATATAGTTTGTTTAAGCTGGAAATGGTTTCATTTGCTCTTTGTCAGCAAGAACGAGGACGGCTTTTCCTGGACAACTAGCAAGCAAAATCTTGTAGGTGGTTGCACCCATCTTAGCCATAGGTGCAGTTGCTCCTGCGTGAGGCTGGAGCCTGGCTAGGGAGACCCTAATGGAACTAGGGACTTCAGTGTGGAACTCTTCTTTGCTGCATTCCTTTTTTCTTCACTTACAAGAAAGGCCTGAATGGAGGACTTTTCTATGAACAGGAGAATTTTTTTAGGGGTCAAAGTGCTAATTATTAACTCAACCAGGTCTACTTTTTAATGGCTTTCATAACACTAATTCTGGTAGAGTTACAGATAAAGGCATTTCAAATGGATATAGACTGAGGGCTCTGGAGGGTGGGGGAATTGTTAAAACAACGACACACATGCAAAAAAATTCTTGTATATATAACCATTTTAATCTTTTATAAAGTTTTGAATGTTCATGTGTGGATGCTGCAGCTGTGAAGCATACATAAATAAATGAAGTAAGCCATACGGATTTAATTTATTGGATGTTATTTTCCCCAAGACCTGAAAATTGATATAGTATGCTAGTTATTTTTCAGTGTTAGCTTTTATACTTTCCTCCCACAGTTTGGAACCATATAATATAAGTACTTTGTCCCTGATTAAATAATGTGATGGATAGAATGCATCAAGTGTTTATAAAGAATGGAAACGTGTATAGCTTTCAGCCAGTGGTATTTGCCCAGTCTAAGCAAGAGTATGTGTAGAAATAGTGTGGGAATTTCTTCCTGTTAGGTTGAGTATATGTGTTAAAATTTCTGCTTATCTCTTCCCACTCAATTTTCTCCTTTCTATATGAATAAAGTGATTGCTGAAGATAACTTTGAATCATTATCCATTTAATTTAAAATTTAAGGAAAAGCTTATAATGGAAGGAAGGCATTTAGGACTCTCCCTAATTTTAGTTAGAAGAATATTAAGAAGAATAGACAACAAACAAAATGCCAGTAGAAAAGATAGAGGTTTAAAGAGATAGAGATGATTAACCTGATTTAAACATTACCCAATACACACAGGTATTGAAACATCATCACGTAGCACCCCATGAATATGTAAAACTTTTATGTTTTGATGTCTCAGTTTCAAATAAATTTAACTTAAATTTAGAAAAAGAAAAAGAAAAGTAGGAAAAGAGCAGACTGAGTTTGACCCAACGTTGATTCTTTTTTATGAAACTGCCTTTGGCTTAAAAGATTAACAGCTATAGCTCACAGTAATACAGTGTCTGTAAGCGAGTTTCCCTGGTTCTTGCATTACATGTAACCCACCTTTAAGACACTGAGCAACACTGTGTTGACCTATTAGGTTTCTATTTTTTCTTTTTCCATTATAATGCACATAATACTTTTCCTGTATTTATATTATAACATGTATAGTGTAAAATGTGAATGACTTTTCTTGTGAATGAAAATCTAAAATCTTTGTAACTTTTTTATATCTGCTTTTGTTTCACCAAAGAAACCTAAAATCCTTCTTTTACTACACTGTGGCTTGTCTGGTTATTTACAACTTGAACTCCTAATGTGTATCAAGATTTTAATATTCTGGTTCCATCACAGAGAACAAGCTGTTGGCTTGGATGAAGTGATTTTATACTCGAAAAGAGATGATTATACACGTACCTGCAAAAACTGAGCTAGTAATTCTGGTAATGTTTTCATCTATGTACTATTCCTTAATCTCAAATATGTAAGAAATATGCAATAGGAAAAGTGATAGCTCATATTAGAGACTGCTTCCTATGTATCAGGCCAATAAAACAAGGCTGAGAAAGGTAGACAATTGCTGTCTGATGAGGGACCAGTTGTAGAGAGATCAACTTATTTGTCCAAAGTGTGTAGCAGAAGCAGAAAATCTCTAGAGCCTGCTTGATATTCTCAAATGTAAAAATACTATGTTCTTGATTTTTCTACATTTAGGAAGTTAATTTACTGGCTAGATAATCATATCTAATTATCAGAGATGTCAAAAATGGCAAATTCTCATCCATTCAGATATCCAGTCATTCCTTCATTTTTTATCCATTTACTATTTATTAAGTACTTACCATGTGCCAGGCACTCTACTAGGCTCTGAGGAATTAATTAGCAATGAATGAGCTAGACAGGGCTCTGCCCACATAAAAGCTTTCATACTTACTATCCTATGGGAATTATCTTAAGAGTCCATTTTATTCAATACCTTTTTTGATTATCTGTAAAAATATATCAATTATATTCTCTGCAATTGTGGGGAAAATATCATAAAGCACAAAGGTGGTTGAAAATTGTTCTGATGTTTCTTGCTTGGAATATGAAAACTATATAGGAAGTTGGGCATGAGTAGATATAGCAAAGAAGACATTATTTTCTTTTTGAGCTTTTCCTTTTAGGGTGCAGTCTACCATTACCTTTATGCAAAACTTTACATGGAAATGACATTTCCATGCAGCATTTGTGCAAATACACTCTCATTAGATATATGGCATCATATTTATTGATTAATCCAAGTACTGATAATGGAATCTGTGGGATGTCAAATACTCACAGAGTGAAAAGTTTAAGGAGACTTGTATTACCTTAAAGTCAGCAAACACTGGTCCTCTTCATTTTATTTTTTAAGTTTTTATTAGCATATATTCATTGTACAGGGGAGATTCATTTTGCCAATTCCGATAGCCTTACATTGTACATTGGTTAGATCCCCCCCACCATCTCCCCTCTGCAATCCCGTCCCAGCCCCACTTAAAGCAATTGCAAGAAGTTTCATCATACTATTTCATATATGTATATGAAGCCCATCAACTATATTCCCTCATTTCATCTCCTCCATCCCCCTCCTCTCCCATAAGTACCTCCCCCAGCTCTATCTATTTTATAATCCTGTCTTTCATTATTAATTCCAAGGTCAAAGTTCAAAGGGTTCACTGCACTTTAATGGCTAAGTGGCACATGAGAGGGAAATATATGCCCCTTCCATAGGGGATTGTTTAAGAGAAGTGGGTTTCCAATGCAGCCAAAATGGAAAAGAGCTAGGAGAGATAGTACAAGGAGGGACATATTATTTTAAAGTAGACTTTTGTCAATCTTAAGTGAATTTTCCCTATAGTATAGGAAGTAGGAATTATGTTATATGAGCAATTTGCCCAGAAATCATATCATTTATAACAAACTTAAGAAACTTGGAAACATATAGAAAAATAAATTGCAAAGAGTTTCAGAATAAGCTAGGTAAGGTGGCTCACTCCTGTAATCCTAGGTACTCAATAAAACAGAAATAGGGACAATCTGAGGCCAGCTCAGGCAAATGCCCCATCTGGACCAATAAAAAGCTGGGTGTGACAGTGTGCACCTGTCATTCTGGCTACAAGGAAAGCATTAATGGGAGAATAGCCATCCAGGCCTGGCTGGGGATAAATGCTAGACCCTACCCCCCCTCAGCAAAAAAATACCTAAAGCAAAAAGGGTGGAGGAGTGTGGCTCAGGTGTTAGATTGCCTGCCTATCAAGGACCTGAGTTCAAATCCTTGCACTGCCAAAAAATGTTTCGGAGTCAATTTTGTGAATGACCTATACATGACTTTCCCAAGTAAATAATCTATGAGAGAAAATGTGTTCTAAATAAAGGTAAATAATCCTGAAGTGTATCTATTTTTGAAGAGTTTTTTTTGGTGAAACTGGAATTTGAACTCAGAGCTTCTCTATTTTTAAGTGTTTCTTTCTATGCTCTTTAATAGTAGAAGAACAGAGAAATGTTTCTGAAGAGAACAGCCCACAGAGATATGTTGGCTCTGATATTTGTGCACCTTTCTTTTTCTGTGCTGCATCTTGTGTTTGTTAAACAAGCCAGAATAATTCACCCAAATGATTCTTTTCTAAAATAAGTCTACACAGAAAGCTTATAAAGCTCTTGAATGAGTCATTCAAGACTACACAATCTTTTCCCATATTTACACATTTCTGTATGTTTGGACCCCAGCTTGACAAGAAAGAGTTAAGTGCCAAAATAGGACAAGAATGGTTTTTGTTGGAGTGTTTACAGAATATTCAAAGTCTGGCTTTAAAATGGAATTTAATTCAGAGTTTTGTCTGAGTCTATCAAAGATCCCTGCCAAAAGCCAGGCGCCTGTGTCTCATGCTTATAATCCTAGCTACTCAGGAGGTGGAGATCAGGAGGATCACAGTTTGAAGCCAGCACCAGGCAAATAGTTCGCTAGACCTTATCTCTAAAATGCCTAACACATACACACACACACACACACACACACACACACACACACACACACACACAAAGGCTGGTAGAGTAGTTCAAGGTGAAGGCCCCAGTACTGTAAAAAAAATAAATAAATAAAAGAGAAGATCCCTGCCAAAGATTACATTTTACTGTCTTAGGAAGTTACTCATAAAAAAAATTTTTAAAGCTAGATACTCATCAGATTTTAAGTTATCAATAAAAATTTTTTCATCACAAAGTTAAACAATTGTAAAAATATTATTTTGACACATTTAAATATCACCATTCTAAAATAAACACATAAACATAGATAAAAAAATAAATTCAGTGGAATCTAGATATTCATGTGGTTTAATTTATATCATCATCTTTTAAAGAAACACTTGAAGAAAATAAATCTTGTTTTAGCTATCAGAAATCCTATATTTTTCTTTTCCTTCTTCTGGAATCATTTTTTCATTTTGGTTCTCTCCAACGGGATTTTACCTAAATATGAAACATTTATATGTTTGAAAGCATTCCATTGAGTAAGCTAATACACTGTCAAAATTTGTACTTAAATTTTGAAAATTATTTTTCTTTTATAATCATAAAGTTATAAAAGTTAACTGCCCAAATTATCATTATAATTTACTGATGTAAACTTGATCAAAACAATAAAAAATCATTATAAAATTTGAAAGATAATTATAAGTTGTAAAATTTTACTAGAAATATATCAAAATGAGATAATTAGAGTTGTTTTTCTCAAATCAGTTTTCCATGGATAAATATTTCTTAAAACTAGAATGGCTCAGCACATTCTCTTCCAATTCTCTTTTTGTAAACTTAAACACTAAACATCAGGGACATTTGTTTGCATAAATGATAGGTAGAGATACTAGTTTTATTATGCAACAGTGCCCACTTTGTAAAGCTTTTTCTAACCTATTACCAAAAGTCACACAACGAACTATCAAAAATTACTTTCATTTATCTCTCAGCTGAGGGTACAGTGAAGTCCTCCTTAATGTTTTTCATAAACACCTGACTTGAAAAAAGATTTATGGGGTCATCAAAATAATTCATCTGGGATCTGGGGATGTGGCTTAGTGGTAGAGTACTTGCTTGCCTCTGTGAGGCCCTGGGTTTAATCCCCAATACAATAATAATTGTCATTTATTTTGAATTGTCTTATATATGATCAGAGTTATAACATTGAATGGTAATGCTCCCAAGACTCAGAATGGATGAGAGGTGTGTTTCTTGTGTGTGTGTGTGTGTGTGTGTGTGTGTGTTTGTTTTTCAATCTTATTTCCTTTTGAAGTGGCAAAAAGGTGGTTATCTAGTCTTTGATTTTCAATGTTTGTTCCCTGAAAAAATCATAACTACCACCTAGGAACCTAGAAGAAGTGCAAACCCTCAGATCATCCCTTACAGAATTAGATATCTGGGGAATGAGGAGAGAAATCTGAGTTTTTGCAAAACATTCCAGATGATTCTGATACATTCTGAAGTTTATGAAAAATGATATATGGGAAGGTGCAAAAGTAGAGCCATCAGCCTCCTTAGCAGATACCTTCTTAGACAGATGAATGTTAAGAAAGATGCCAGATGAATGTTAAAGCTCTGGAAATTGCTTCCTTTGAATGCCTGGAAACTCTTGGGGATATTCCCAAGGTAGGTGCCCCTGGTTTGGAGGCCACTGATCTACACAGTCCTTAATGGACTTGTAGATTTTTAGTGCATCATGGGTTTGTGTCTGTGAACTTTCACTATAGGGAAAACTAAATAAAGCAATACAATTTAAAATAATTATTTGTTAAAGAACTAAGACAAAGTTTTAAATGCAGGAATTAAGAATTAAGATGAATTTAAAAAGTGAGAAGCAAAGCAGATATGTTTTAACTTCCCATCAAGAACCAGCCAAGAAAAGGAAATTCAAATCCAGTGAAGAAACTCAAAAGAGGTCTAGGTGTGAGAATCCTTTGGCATAAATTGAGCTCTGGATCACTCCAGTTTCTAGTTCAGATCACCTTCTCCCATGTCCGTCAGTCAGATTGAATTCACCATCCATTCAATAATACATACTGAGCAGAGACCTGGTCCAGGAATTACACTAGATATAGGGATACAGTTATAAATAGGGCTGGTCAAATCCCTGTCCTTACAGAGCTTACAGTATTATGAAAGAGATTAATTATGGGACTAAAGGGGGAGAGATGATTTTTCAAATGTTAAAACTTGCATTCTTGACCATCTCTGCTCTATTTTTCATCTTTGAAAATAGAATGGTTCCATTCATAACTTTGCATTTACCTACTCCCTACATAGTAATTATTGTGTGTCTAGATGGTTGGATTTCATAGGCACATTCAGCTCTTTATATTTAGGTTAAACAACTACCCATCCCTCTCTTTACCTAGGTGTTTTATCATTTTCTGTTGGTATAATTTAATATCACGGAGGATTGGGTATTTAATAGAGATTTCTCATCTGGAGATGAGAAGTCAAAGAGCATAACACTGACTCAGCATTTGGTGAGAGCCTCTTGCTGGGTCATGGCATGGTGGAGGGCATCACATGTTGAGGCAAAGCGAGTTTGGTAGCTTAAGTCTCTCTCTTCTTATAAAACCACTAATATGAATATGGGGACACCACCTCCATGATCTCATCTCATCCTAATTACCTCCCAAAGACCCCACATCTCCATATTATTATATTATTATTACAATGGTAAGAATTCTCAATAAAAGTGTCAAAGGAGATGAACATTCAAACCATACCTCAATTCATTTTTAAAACTAAGAG